TAGGTACATTTAGATCTGATATTGCTCATAGAGTAATGACAGAGAACATTGTCCTGATAAAAGAAACTCAAATTGATCTTTACTTTTTAGCTGATAAACTTTTAGAGAAGAGTATGATAAATGGAAGAGAGAGAAGTCAAGTAACTGATGAACACTGTGGACTGACAGCTGATCAAAGACTACATAAACTACTTAACATTATCATAGGAACCATTAGAGTGGATGGAGAAGTATTTGGTATATTCTTAGATATACTCAAAGAGGAAGGTACTAGAAGAACTATTAAACTAGCTGATAAACTGATAGAAAAATATAATAATATTTAGATAGTATTATTATTGTTGTTGTTGTTGTCGTCATTGTTTTGCTTATTGTTGATTTTATCAAAGCAATTGCTTTTTGAATTACAATAAAGGACAAAATAAAAGATAAAAATGTAAAATATTCTCAAATATCTCTTCATAGATGTACAGTTGTCATAGCAACAGTCATTTTCCTTAGCAACGCTACTGATCTAGTTGTTAGAGTAATTCTTCTATAGAAAGTAGAAGGAGGAAGATTGAGAGGATCAAGAGAGAAAGCCTGAATGGAATGACATCATGAGAAGTAACATGACTTACCCTCTTTGATGAAAAGGAGCATACAATAGGTACCCCATAAGAACAGTAACAGTATACCATAACCTAATGATAACAATAAACAATGTATCATGTAATAAGTAAAAGAAAATGCACATAGACATGTACATGTACAGTACATGCCTTTGCTTTTTTTAAATTTGGCTCAGTTCTTTAAATTCTCGAATTCTTATAACTCAAAAATTATCAGCTCAAATTTTCTACATGGCATAAGGACATCAATATGTATCAAAAAAGTAATAAAAATTGGGGGTAATTTTGGAGCCTTTTTTTAGAAAAAAGCATTATAGCCTTGGGTATATGTGACCATAATTGACAAAAGGTACCTTAGGGCGGATAGAAAAATTGGTCTTTATAGCCTAAAAATGCAACTTCCTGAGCTTCATTTATCATAAAATTACTCCAGAGGATGCAAAAATTACTATGTAGCTTTAAGAAACAATTGTTGACTAACAGGGCACTCACAGGTTGATATTTTTCATTAGAAAGATGAATTTTAAAATCCGCCATAAGGTACCTTTTGTCAATTATGGTCACATATATCAAAAATTGGCCTATTTCTAAAAATGCTAATAACTCGAAAATTATTTGTCGGAAACAGTTCAAATTATCTACACAGCATAAGGACATCAATATGTATCAGGAAATGTAATAAAAACTAGGGGTGATTTCGGAGCCGTTTTTCAACAATTGGCCTATTTCTAAAAATGCACATAACTAAAAAATTTACAGTGAAATTAGCTCAAACGCACAACATAAGGACATCAATAGGTATCAGAAAAAGTAATAAAAACTAAGGGTGATTCCGGAGCCATTTTTTGCAAAAAACCATGGGCTATATATAGCCTTGGGTATTTTTCAAAATTTGGCCTATTTTTTTAAATGCTCATAACTCAAAAAACTTAAGTCAGAATCAGTTCAAACTTTCTACACAGCATAAGGACATCAAATTCAATACATTTCAATATTAGAAATTTAATATCATTTTGTGCTTTCTTCTAAAAGGCAATCAACAAATTCATTCTTAAAAATTGCTAAGTGTTTCATCACCCAATTTCTGAAGCATGTTTTCTTATTCCAGCTCTTTGTTCATCACTATAACCATGACATAGACACGTACACGTACAAATGTACATGTAATTAAATCGAGTACATTTCATTTCAGTTTGGATTTGAATCAGATTATAGACCTTATTATTGAAAAAGGAACTCATTCAGATAATGGGCCATTAGCATGGACAATAACAATAGATTTCTTCATATACATGTACATGTACTTGCAGTGCTATATTAATTAAGGTGAGAACTTTGATTAACTTTGGGAAGAGTTAATTAAATGGAGGTGTGGTGTGTTTTATTATTAGTTAATTTATTTTTGCAAATTTATTTTCGTGATAAAGAAATATGTGAAATCCACAAAAATTGCACAGCTTAAAACAAACCACTCATACAGTATTTTGTTAGGTAATTTAGTATACACAAATACATGTAGCATGGAATACATCATAATGTACATTATACATCAAAGATGATCAGACTACATGAACATATACAATTCACAGTATATTATACCTGGATCTCCCACTAGCAGTAAGTGACAGTCACCTCTAACAAGAGTGCCAGACTCATCAACATACTACAATAAATGAATTTATACATTACTTCACAATTTACAATTACTACATGTATAGTATGTACTGTAAATGCTACATTACAATACAGACTTCATAAAATACAGACAGTAAAAGTACTTAATACAAGTGCACATGTATATGCACTCAACAGTCAAGGCTTTGCGAATGCACATGTGTATTGGTATATGTAATACAGTAATTTTCTAATTATACAAAATTCAAAATGAGCAAAATAATTAAATTAAGGATAGAAATATTATGTACATGTCATGATGTAAATAGCAAAACTAAGGTATGAATATTAAACTGACCTGGACCCCTCCAACGAGAGCTAAGCATATACAAAGCTTAACTACATATAGTCCAAATACTTGAGGACAGAAACTAGCAATAATTACATTACGACCTTCCAATGGATTGTCCTTATAACTACACCAAAAGGCATCAAAAAATGACTTCTAAAAATTAATAAAATTATTTATAATCCAATAAAAAATAAAAGAAAGAGAACCATACCATTTCATCAGTGATGTCATTCTTCTCCTGACTAGATGTCTTCAGTACAATGTGATTTGCATGTATAACCACTTCCAACAAACACGTACTACCAGAGCTACAGGTAAGATAGTATAAAATGTGTTGCAAATTCATTTGAAATTAAAGCCACTCTCACTTGAGAGATTTCCACTGCTGTCTGACAATACCAGTAACAAGAACATCATCTCCAGCTTTAAAAGAATCCACAAGATCCCTCTCTAACACAACCCAGACAGACCTTGGAATCTATACATGTACACAAAGACAAAGAGTAGAGAAAAGAATGAGAGAGAGAAAGAGAGTAAAGTAGAAGAGATAGGAATGGAGGGAGAAATCACTTACATATCCTATCCCAAGCTTTTGTACATGTTCCTGCATTCTTATCTCTTGATAGTCATGGTAGCTTGAAGACTCTGTAATAAACGTGACTAAGGAATAGACAAATAGAAATCAGTACCCTCTTCAACTGGAGAAAACTTGTAAGAAATACAACAATCAACAGACCATGAGACGGACATGATGGTATTACAATCAATCATCATCAAGATTACATCATTATATAACTGGAAAGAGAGAGAGAGAGAGAGAGAGAGAGAGAGAAGGAAACAGAGGTTGGACAAAGAACACAATGAACCACTCATGAAAATAAATGGTCTAACTTTGACAGTATAGTCAGTAGATCTACAGTGTAGTCCAAATGTCAAAAAGGGGAGGGGCTATCTTTGGACACAAAGTACCTACCACTGATGAGATGATGTGACATCATTTCTTATTTTCACAAAGAGAAACTTCATGATTTTTCTAAAACTTTTTTGAAAGAATGAGGTGAATTTCTATTTTATGGGTGTGGCCTCAGTTAACCACGCCCTGTTGAGTAGTTTTGGGTGGGGCTGGTATTTTGCAAGAATGGCATCTAAAAGTGAGGGCCACTATTCTCTTCTCTTTGTATCCCTTTCATTCATTCTTTATCTCTCTTACTCTCTCACTTACTTTACTCCTCTGTATCCTGTCCTTATTCTAACTCATCACTATATTACTGTTACTCTGTTACTGGTACCTCTTTTTCTCTATAGACTATCAACCAGTGGAGAGAGAGAAACACTCCACAGTAAAGGTAGGAGACTACCTATATATGTGGGGTGGGGGTGGGTCTGGAGTAGACTATGATGTGATGGAGGTGTATCACTTACCAACTGGTGCTTGGGACCAGAAACCTACTACTGGTACCCCACCACCAGGTACCAGGGGCTATTCATCTGTCGCCATAGGAAAGGACATATATTATTTCGGTGGGCGTGAAGTTGATGATCAAAATAGCTTACATTCCTTCAATGTGGATTCATTCAAGTGGAGGCAACTCTCTCCTTCTAGTTCTGATCATGGTCCAATGAAAAAGGCCTACAGTGGAATGTTATCAGTTAATTTTGACAATGAAGACTATCTTGTAATGATTGGAGGCTATGCATTATCTCCTATCAATCCTCCAAAGCAACCTGATGCTCAGTATACAGCTGGTGGTAGATGTAATGAGATACATTATTACAGGATTTCATCAGGTCAGTAATTTTCATCATTGATACACAATAGTTGATCAGTATTTCTAACTGAATAATTTATATTAATGTACATAAAACAGATTGTTAATAATTAAGTGTGTTTGTTAGTGTGTCTCTGTGTGTCATGTGTTTGTGTGTGATGGTGACGTGTGTCTATATGTGACGTGTGTGTGTGTGTACTAATACATACATTATGATGTGTCTGTGTATGATAGTGCATATAATGTATGTGAGAATTTATGAATGTATGACGTGTGTATGTGACGTGTATCTATATTGTGCATGTTATGTGTGTGTGAGTATTATCATGTACAGCCGTATCTGTGTGTGTGTGATGTTTGTATATGTACATGTATCTATACATAATCTAATGTGACATGAGTGTGTGTGTGTGTGTAGGTTCATGTTATTATCATTTTTAATAAAGTTCTGTATCATATGAGTCACAAATTACCCACATACAATGTTCCATGAGTTTTATATAATTATTCATTAACAATCATAACTGACATGTACCAGAATAGATTAGTAATCTTCAAATAAGGAGACCCCCTGGATCTCTCCTTCATGTGCAGACTTGGGGTCAATTACAAATTTTCAATTACAATTACACTTTTATATACATACATTTGTTCCATGTACATGTAGTCTCAATTACAATTACAATTACATTTCAGGTCCCTCAACTCAATTACAATTATAATTACATTTTTATTTAATTACAATATAATTACAGTTTAAAATTATAGTTACACATATAACATATAAACATTAATGACTCAAGTAGATTATTACTAAGACAGCACTGCTCTCGCCAAAAATTTTTCCTCCTATACTAAATATCCCTTTCACAGTTGCTGACGATGCATGAAATGGCTAAATTAACATTGGCTAGTTTAGCCAAGATTTGATATGCATGTATAAAAGTCAATGGTTTAGTTATCTCCTTTGGTGTAAATGTGCCTCATTAGATGATGTAATTTATCATTATTTACAATTACAATTACAATTACAGTCCATAGTTTGAAATACATGTCAATTACAATTACAATTACATAATTGTAATTGTAATTGACCCTTAAATTACATTTACAATTGTAATTGACCTCAAGTCTGTTCATGTGTACAGGTGTGGTGTGTGTGTGTGTTTGTGTTTCGACCTAACCCCCGGGCTATGTCTCAGGACCCAGCTACTATAACCGTAGCCTATCACTGGGCTTGCACCTCGATTGAAAGTACTGGCATCTTCAAAGCTCAACACATCCATTGACTTAAGAGTCGAAATTAACAGAGTATGGGGTTTCCCTTCTATTTAAAAATGCTTACTGGGCAAGGGACAGACAGTCTGGCCTTGAGAACCAGAAATGGCGGGTTAAAGATCTTTTATGGGGCTCCAACTCTCCCCGAACTGTCTGAGCCTCACTCAGCTATTGGTTTAACTGATAAGGTGTTTGTGTAACTGAACTCTTTGTTAACTACTGCTATGAACACAGTTATAGTTTATCTTACATATAAAGGACACTGTATGCTACATGTATTTTGTTTATACAGTTAATTTTTGACTATAAATTGTTTCAAAATACATGACTTACAGGGAATGCTGTCTTTCTTTGCTGTCATCACACAATTAGATGCGGCCATGCTTTTTTAATTAGTACTTAAATATTCATGTACGTGTAGGTGGGTATTAAATCATTAATTAATTTTCCATGTGTGTGTGTGTGTGTATGTGTGTGTGTGTGTGTATCATGTGATTGTGATGTGTGTCTATGCATGATGTGTATGTATAAATAATAATGTACACACATATACACATACATATGTATGATGAATGTGTATAATGTGTATGTGTGTATGTGGTAAGTAAGTGTACATGAATGTTTGTACATTATTATTAGATCAATGGATATCTCCTGTTGTTACTGGAGACAGACCACCTCCTATTGAGGACTTCACTCTAACACCAGTTACTAATAACACTGCGGTAATGTTCGGAGGCTCTACTGATAATGGTGTCAGTAATAAACTGTATATGATAAGTTTCACTAAGACATCAGTGGTGAGTTTTTACTGTAGG